GGCGAGGAGTAGATCAGGTACTCTCTTTCAGGAATCGCTTTGGATATAATGATGGAGACAAGTTGCATCTCGTATAAATCTAACCTTTTTAAGTCTCGCTTATCTTCGTTCGATTGCATCCATCTCCGAACAACTTTTTCATACAAAAATATCGCAAAAGATGTAGCCGTTAGATATTGCCGGGTATACTGTATAATTTTAATGTGGTAGAGTATATTGCAAATAATAGGACAGCATACAGTATCACGTCGCAGCTGGGCAAAAAACCCAACATTTTCCACTTGTTTTTTGCCATTTTTCAATAACTTTTTCCAACTCACATAAAAATAACTAATGGCTCGTATGGTCACTAACAGTCGTATCGGTCTCTCTCGCTCTCTTTAGCGGATGGCGACGTCTTCCAGGCTCTAATTTTGACAATAAAGTATTGCAAGAACTTCCTATTGATTCTGAACCTCGAAATTTTGTGCGCAGTTCCGTTCCCTCTCGTGCGTGTTTCTCTCGTGTAAAGCCCACACCAATTAGTCAACTACCGAATTGGTCGTGGATTTCTCCTAATTCTTTACTTTTAGCTGGTATTGAGCTAAAAGATAATGTTCATCAGGGTAAATACCTAGGAATTAATGCTAAAAATCAAGATATTAAGGGTGAAGACGATAATTTTGAACCACTGGACACCTCTTGTGCCAATTTTAGCTGGCAATACATTGCTTCCAGGCCTCCGAGACGGCGGCTCAATGTTATTGGGCCATCAATTTGGATTTTTCTCGGGACAATTGGGAGATGGAGCTGCTGTTTATCTGGGTGAAGTGGTGGACTGGAGATGAACGGGGGAGGTGCAGCTTAAGGGGTCCGGACTCCACTCCTTATTCTACAGAACGGCTGATGGCAGTAAAGTGCTGGAGATCGACGTTACGAGAATTTTTAGGCAGTGAAAACATGTTTGCTCTAGGGAGTGCCAACTACTCGCGCAGGGAGTGTAGTAGTGTCCAGAGAGACTCAAGTGTTACGAGACATTTTCTATAATGGTAACACCAAGATGGAGCCGACGGCGGTGGTTACGAGAATTGCAAAGAGTTTCTTGGAGACTTGGCACTTTGGAGATTTTTAAGGACAAAGATCATTTCACGGGTCTTGGAAGGCCAAGTGCCCATGTGGAACACAAAGAGGAGATGATGAGACGATGCTGGACTTTACTATCATACAATATTTCCTGAGATAAAAGGAGGAGACAAGTATGAAAAGTTTTTTGAAGAAGTGGTGCGTCGTACGGCAAAGCTCGTGGCAAAATGGCAGACAATTGGGTTCTGTCACGGTGTGTTGAACACAGACAACATGAGCATCGTGGGTGACACGCTGGACTACGGTCCGTTTGGCTTTAGGTGAAGCACTTTAATCCAAGGCCATACAAGTGCAACACGTCAGATGACCGCGGTCGCTACCGCTATGAGGCCCAGCCTGAAATTTGCAAGTGGAACTGCAGTGTACTAAGCTGATCAGCTTGGATTGGTGGTAGATCGTGCACGACTTGATTCTCGCCCTAGCGGCGTTCGAAAGATATTACGAAGAAGAGTAGCGGCGTTTAATGCGTAAAAATCGGGGCATTGCATCGCCTCATCTTGCAGAGGACAAGATGCTTGCGGATACGTTGTTTGACGTGCTGGCCTATGACTGGTGCGGATGTTACTTGTACGTTCCGGAACCTTTGGAGACTTGACGCTTTCGACTCTGGTGAGTCTCGTGATGTTGTAAAGCTGAACTAACTTGTGGCACTGCCGGAGACCTTGGGTCAGGCGGAAGCGAAAATTGGAGCAGGAATCAGTTGGAGTCTCAGATGCCCAATTTGACATGATCGTGATGATGCTTCAGGATAACCCTGGGCGTGCTAGTCAATACGGAACTACTCCTGCCTTGGTCTCTCAGATGAAGGCCAATCGTGAAGCAAAGAAGACACTTGACGTAACTACCGAAGATAAACGCATGAATAATAGGCCGCGTTGCGTGGGAAGACTGGGATTGATGTTTACATCTCGCGAATCAAGGAAACAGGAAACGCTGCTAGCGATGGTGAGCGTCAGTAGCCGCATGCTCGAGGTCAATCCATTGTTTGTGCTACGAAAACCATGTTGCTCAAAAGCGCCACCGGATGTGGCCCATGCAGGTGACTATGATGGCGTTCAGCACATATTTTTGAGCTGCTGACGCACCCGTTTGATGAGCCCAGTGACGAAAGTGATCTCGAGTATACTCAGCCATAAGAATACGTCAACTGCCCCGCTTTGTGTATCGTGTTCGTCGTAGATAATATTTGCCGTCAGCACGGCAAGAAAATCTCGAAGACTACGCTGGTAGGAGATTGTTCTGCGTTGATATCTGTGTTCATGAAACTCGTGAACATTGAAAAGATGATTTTGTGTTTTCCCGGGAAGGTTTACAGTTAAGATAAGGCACAACAAGGTCATGAAACTTGCGCCTATATGTTTGATATACTGTAAACAGTGCTGAAGTAAGCGTAAGTAATTGCCACTTAGAACGTGCCTCTCATAAGCAAAACGTCTTCAAGGACCAGTTTTTTCCGGCAACAAAACAATGTCCTTAGGAGTTCACGCAAGAGGAACGTTTCAATCACCAACAAAGTGTTCGTCTATTGAGTGACGTACTACCATCAAATTGTCACCAATGCTCTCATCTAGCCGCCTGATGCCTTCATTGCACGGAAAGCCGTTCCTCCTTACCCTCTGCACGATACTTTGCCTTCTTCTCTGCTTTGTGCACGCCTTCAAACTGTTTCTCCTCGCGCCGTTTGCGCTTCAGGTTCTCTGCGTTGCGTTGGCTCTGTCGCTCCTTACGTGTGGCCTCACGGTCGCGACGTTACAAAGGGCTAACGCGAAGCATGAAACCATACTTCTTTTTCTCCTCTGGCTCCAGCACAACCGCACGACTGGCCAGGTAGCCCTTCTTGACACCCTTCTTCTTGTCCTCCTTAGGCTTACTGGCAAACGGCAAGTTAGCCTGCAACTTCTTCGGCACCTTCAGCGCAGCAAACTTGCGTTCGGTACGCAGGATAGGTTCGTATAGCGAATCTGGGTTCATAGGTACTGCCAACTTTTGCGCCTTGCGAAGCTCGTACGTGGTCTTCATGAGCCCTAACGTACTCTTTTTGGAGCCCATGACGTTCGTGAGCAAAGACGTCACAGGGTTGTACAATTGTTTGGGATCAACGGGCACCCATGTGCGGCAGAACACCAAATCACTTTTCAGAATCTTGTCTTCGAAGGTGGCACGGAAATCACCCTTCTCGCCGCGAAGTGCTTTCTTGATCCGACCACGTACACCACTCACAGTGCGAACACTGGCGCCCTCAAACTTGGCCACTTCCAGTTCTGTGTTAAACATGCCCTTGATGAAGGCAGTGTTCTTGTGAATTTTGCTCGGCGTACCGATCAGCTTGAGCTTCTTCACCACATTAAACTTGTGGTCCAGTTCCAGTACGACGCCAGTACCACTGACGCGAAACCCTTCGGCATTATTTGACAATGTCTGAAAGGCCACTACGCCAGTGTTGGGCGGGCACATGGGTCCAAAAATCGTAGCATGACAATGCATGTGTTCTGGTGTGTACTTCAGATAGCGATGACGTTCATTCGTGTCTTCGATCGAATATACAGGCAAGCTCTGAAACCGCCGCCAACCGATGGAGAATACCAGCGGGTCATTGGTCTTTAGAATCTTCCTGTGCCAACGGTGTTTCTTAAAGCGCATGCGAACGAGCCCCAGGGTGTCCTCCATAGTAGGCAGACCACCCACAACGATCGGATTCTTTGGATCATAATACCGGACAAATTCAGCGGGCACGCCTGAGAACTCAATTCGGACATAAAGTCCGTTACGAAAGCCTTCCAGCTGAAGCCGCATGTCCTCACCTTCTTCACCAAACTCCTCTGCATTACGCTGTGCCTGCTCTTCGCGAAGGCGCTTGGCTTCGACCATAACCTCTGTCAATTCTTCATCCTCGTCATCCTTGCTTTTCTTTTGGCCACCAACTTCCACGTCATCATCATCATCCTCTACTCGCTTCGTTGACTTCTGCGCACGGAGACGCTCGCGAATTTGTTCATCGGTCTCTACGTTATCTCCCTCGTCGTCGCTTTCCCCACTGTTGTTCATACCACTATCGACACTATCAGCACCCTTGTGAACCTCACCAGTCTCCAAATTTTCGAAAGAACCGTCCATTTCGTCATCGTTCGTTGGGTCAGCATTGACATCATCGACATCCTCTTCACCATCATCGTTGCTGCTTTTCTTGTTAGTGCGTTTCCACGATCCAGTCACAAACCGGTTACGAAGGTTTTCAAGGACATCTGGCATCGTCCAGTCGTTCCCATCATCAGAGCCCAGATGCAAACGAGAGCAATCAATCGCATTAATAGCGTTGTACTTTTCGGATGCTGACGAAGACACTCCCAAAGCGTTAGATTTTCGCTTCAGCGTGAAAAAGCTGTCGTCGTCATCGTCGTTATCTTCATTTAACGCGCATTTGCCATTCTTAGTTTCCTCCCCGTTTTCCAAATCGCGCTCAGTCATGTGAAGCTTTTGGCGCTCACCGTACACAAGTTCCATCAGGTTGACATCGGACTGTTCTCGCTCCAAGAAATTAGCAGCGGCACGAGAAACCATATTCTCCTTCCACCGCAGCTGCGACTGCTCTTCAGTGACCTCTTTCTCATCTTCGTCGTCGCTGTCACCATCGTCGTCATCGTCATCGTCGTCGTCATCATCGTCTGAATCTGAAACGGCACTGCTGTTCAAGATCGCACTGGGCTCCTCGTCCTCGTCGAATACTGCTCGTCGACGCATCCGACCAGTACTGTCACGAACAATAGCTTCCTTAGGTTTGCCTATATTGGCTTGTCCATCGTCATCGTCATCATCGCTGTCATCATCAGTGTCATCTTCCTCTTCCTCCTCGTCGCTGTCTACTTCGTCTGCACGGATAGCAGCGGTGCTCTTAAAAAGTGACAGACTGGCACCCTTCAGCCTTTCATCAAGACCAACATCCATCTTTTGCATACTCTGAACCATCTCAACACCTTCACCGCCCAATCCAATACGCATCCCACTTTTTCCTGTAATCTCTATGTCATCTGCATCGTACTCATCAGCCACAACATCTCCAGTGTCCGGGTTCGTGTAATTCAACTGGCTCAAATTAATATACATGGCATCCTTGTCGTACATAATGTTGCCAACATCCGACATTGGTGCATACAAGAGCGTATCTTTCTGAGTCAAATGTTTCTTCTTTCCATTTTTGTCCACACCTATTTTGCTCGATGGTACATTGCATGGATCAGGCATTGCCGTGACACTGTCCATATAGAAATCACCTGCACCTGCAATATGCATCTTCATATCGGGTTTCAAATGGGTACCACGCAAATATCCATACAATGTCACACGTCGATCCACCATTGGATTATGTTGAATATCATTCGGTGCTGTCACATCCTCAAACCGATCCACCAACATATAAGAATGTGAATTTCGCCATGTCAGTGGTCGAAATTTCATCCTGGAAATATACAAGGATAAATTATTAATCTCTCCTTTTGGATATTTGTTGGCTGAGATTCCAGAAAAGTAAAAAAGTTTGGCGCCTTGATAAATTTCAGTCCAAAAACGTGCTTTGAGTCGTTTTTTCGTTTTCCGAAGACTTTTGGTCTTTCGAAACCCATCCAAATGGGTCAAAATACCCATCACTTTTGGAAATCCTGACACTTGCAGGATGTTCAGAAACTCAAAGGTTTCCATTTCAAACCCAAAACTTGCATCCACCAGTAGCAAGACAAGGTCGGCAATCTTGGCAAGATCAATCATAGCGTTTAAATCATTCGGACATTCAAAAAAAGTGATACGACGGTCTTTTCCACTTACTACCGTCACTGGTCCTTTCACTTCAACAAGATTATGACGAGTATATCGTTTCACTAATGAACGAATTACAGTACTCTTGCCACTACCAGGTGGCCCCATCACAACGACAGAAATAGGTGGTGGTAAATTTTCATCCCGGTTTTGTTGTGGTACATATTCCTTACGATGTGCACGGTCCAAGTTGCGTTGAATGGTCTTGCGTGCCCGACCAGCTTTTGCAACACCAAAAGCTTTGGGATTTTTACGTTGTTCAGCTAAGGATGGCTGCTCTTTTTTTTGTTTTTCATAATCTTTACGCTTTTGTTTGTTCACTTTAGCACCAGACTTGGACTTTCGATGACCTTTGACTGCTGTAGACACATCCATTCACTCGAGAGACTGACTTTCTAGAGACAAATGATACACTGACGCTGATGATGATGTTGCCAAAACAGCTGTTAATTTGGGTGGCTGCGACGAAATGGATGGTCGCAATGACCAAAGTACGATGTGATGTGGAGAACATACAAGAAACAGGAGAACTTGTGGGAATTGATACCCTGTACATCTCGATTGGGACTCAAAACAATTCGTTTTCTTTCGCTAGACGAAGTAGACCAACTGCTCCAGTGCAGGCAAATGGTTCAAATGGTGTACTTGCCCCCTCGTCGTCGCTTTCATCCGTTTCTACTTTTAACTTGTGCAGTTTTTTGGAACGTTTCGTGTGTTTCATGCGTCTTTGTCGCGGTCCAACAGCTGTACAAAGTGTTTCTCCATCGCCAGGTTTACATGTTCCAAGCTTCTGCTGATGCCGTTGAGCTTGCATTTGAGTAACCTTTTCACCTTCATCCTCGCTTTCGTCACTGTCAAAGTCAGCGCCATAACCATCGGAATCATTGTCATGATGAATCTTTTGATGAAATGATTCGTCACAACCCCGATCACTATCGTCTTGTACGTGCCAGGAGTCTTTGTCGACTACCGTGTGTGTCACTTCATCCAATCGTCCAATTGCATCGTCATTTGCCCAGCAATCTCTTACATCATCTCCGGCCTTGTCCTCCTCGTCCACAATGTCATAGGTAGCTCGCTCTTCACCTGATGACACACAAACACTATCTTCATCCGAGCCACTAGCGTTCTGAGGTGGTATCCTAGACTTCAAGGGAAGACGTCCAAAGTCCTTCTTCCATAGACGCAAAATATGAATATGGTGATCAAAGAGCAACTGGAAATGATCTTCCGTTGTGGCCTGTTGGCTAAAATCACGAGGCAAGCGGCTAAACACCATGGCGATCACCATATCCAGCACATTCATATTTGTAGTCACACCATTTTCTCCGCCAGGGTTGCCAAATGCACTATAGCATTCTTCTTCTTCCAGC